ATATATATATATACATATATATATATATATATATATATATATAAGAACATTTTATTAAATAAAACAACAGTATTTAGTGTTTATGCTCATATCAACTAAAAGATGAAGGACAAATTTGTTGAACTTTAAATATATTACCTCAATTTTACACAACACTGTGTTACAACTAAATTTGGATACTATAACAAATAAAAAAAATAATTAAAAAAGATAAATACAAACATATTTTTTAAACAGCAGACAGCAGTCTTGGACAGCAACCAAAGCAAGTTTGTGTTCTGATACATTTGTGTCTGACTCAAAATTCAGAAATCTCTCTTTTGACACTGACTAAATCCAGATGTGCACAGATGTATTTGTCTCCACTTGTAATATTTAGAAAGTCATAGATTTTTGGTTCAACAGCCTGTTCCGTTAGAAATAAATCGAATTGATAACAATGACTCTGACATCCGTGGTTTACACTTTACTGAGAAACTATAAGTCTATACATCCAAATGCCAGATTTTTGTTATGATAAAGTATTTACCACCTTAAATGGTACCAAAATGTTTCCTACCTTTATTGCTACCTAGAGGTAGCAACTCATTTACGTAAGTACAAACAAAGTTGTTACGGGAAAAAATAAAAACAATTGATGGTTACATAAATAAATACAAAGTTAAACTAAAATTATTTTGGAGAAATTTTTGATTTCATCACAGCAGTTCAAAGGAATCTTGACACAATTTGACTCAGAGATGTTTGCTCACTTTTCCTTGCAAAGACTCTGATTGTGATCTGTCAGATTGCAAGGGAATGTCTTGTGCATAAACTTCTTCAGATCACCCTGCAGGCCTTCCATTTACGGTGGACATGAAATGCAAACAACTACAAAAAATATAATAATAATAATAATAATAAAACAGCATTGGATCAAAACATAACTACATTTGAAAAAACAATTTGTTGGATAAAAATATCCTCTGTTCATCTTACTTACTCAAAGAAGCCACACTCGAGGACACAAGAAGATTTTTAACGGGTTTGACTTGTAAGGACAGACTTTCACAACAGATAGACGCAGATGTATAGAAGTTCTACGTGCATGGAGCCCAGTCACGAGAATCTGCCTCGGGCAGCGTGCGAGAATTGTTTCTTGTATATGCTTATCAGCTCCCGGAACAGGCAGACACTGATGACCTCGGCCACTCAGCATGTGCACATGCAGTACATGCAGGATCAAATCAGCTAATCATTCTTTTTTTTTTTTTTTTCATTTACCCTTTATTCATACAGGTAGTCTCATTGAGCCACGAGAACTCATTTTCAAGAGAGACCTGTCTAGTGAGCAGATGTTGGGGGTTAAGGGCCTTGCTCAAGGGTCCAAAGTGGGGCGAATGAGGGTGGAGGGAGGTGTGGGTGTTTCACCTTTTCCACCCACATTTTGATGTTGATGGTACCAAGAGGTGAACCTGCAACTTTCCGATCACAAGCCCATCTTCTAACCTCTGCGCCACCACTACCCCTGTCAGCTCTCAGCTCTCTCTGAGAGAAAAAATAACTCTTTGGTAACTCTTAAACACATGGTTCATGGGCAGTTAACATTCTCGGCCATAGTAGTTAAAAAAAAAAAAAAATCCATAAATCATGGTTGATGGTTCTATTGCCAACCCGACAGCCAGTCCTACATTGATTCAACAGCTTAGATAAATCATCCAGATACGTTCAAAAAGTAAGGAGACAAAATGTTGCCTTGTCGCACACCATTACTCACATAAAAAGAAGATGATACAGATTTTCCCTATTTTATACACGTCGACGGGTGAGCAAACCAATACACTAAGATTATTAATACATTTTTCGGAACTCCTCTTTCGTGCAATTTATAAAACAATTTTCCATGATTTACATGATCAAACTCTTTCGAGGCATCATTAAAACACATAAAAATGGTGGCATTATGTTTATTATATAAATCCAAGAGCTCCTTGAGAGCAAAAATGCACATATCAGTGCCAAGGTTTGGTTTGAAGCCAAACTGGTTATCAGATGTCACAATAAACATCTTAATTCTATTTAACATAGCACTCTCCAACACCTTTGATAAAGTGCTGGCCAGAGCTATAGGTTGATAGCTGCCTATGCTACATATTTTGCCATACTTTTTACAAGAGGCACTAAAATCACAGACAATACAGTAATTGGTAAAACGCCATGAATTAAAACCCGGTGAAACAAATGGCTAACAAAGGAAAAAGTTTTCTGCTTGGAAATTTTAGGTGCTCTGCAGGTATTGTATCCGCACTACATGCCTTATTATTTTTCAGCTTCAGAACAATATCACTAACTTCTTATGTAGAAATAATGACATCTTCATGTTTGTCTTTATTGTCTACCACAAAGGGATTACTTTTACTAGAATTAAACAGTTCATGATAATGTTTCTTCCATAACTGAATAATTTCGTTTGGTCCGTTTGCACCATAAATGTTTGTTGGCAGGGATGTTTTTAGATTATTTACACTTAAATTTATTTCCAAAATTCAGTACAACTATTGTGTTGTAATTTCATTGCAAGTGACTCAGATTTAAGTGTATATTCATTCCGCTTAATAAATTGTAAAACATTTAAAATTAGCATTTGCCGTCTTCTTATAGTCAAATACCAGACAATGTGTAGGTTTGCCTGATTCAGACCACAGTTTAAAAGCCCTTCTGGCCTCAACATAACACACACACACACACACACATATATATGTGAGTATGTGTTTATGTGCATATACATGTATACAGAAGTCCCTCGCTACTTCGTGCTTTGTTTGACGTGGACACGCTCTATTGCATTTTTTTGTTTTTCAAAATAAGATTGGACATGACACACAACTGGCTGACTGATGGATGAGCTGCACAATCTGCATGGAATTTTTATTTAAAATCAAAAATTTAAAATAATTTAGCACCTGCTGCTCATTTGTGCAGTCCATAAAGCAGGATAAGCTTCCTACTGCAGCTGATCAGCTGATCTCTGTAAAGAGTAGTGAAGTGGGCATGGCCAAGAGAGTGTGCAGGTGATAAAGAGCAGAGGAGGCAGAGAGCTGAAATCATGACATGATGTGCTCTTTTAGGGTGTTTAGAGTTTAGAAACGTTGTTTAGAACATTGTAAGAGTGTGGGAAGGGTTTTAAAAAACATTTATATATATATATATATATATATATATATATATATATATATATATATAAGAAATTAAAGCACACATTATATTATATAATGTAAGCATGCAATATAATGTGTAATATAATTCATAACATTGTACATTATATTATACCACATATTTATAATAATATTATTATTAACAAAAGAAGTTTATGCGGTCAGTACTTTATTTTGGACAAATGAAAATGAATTAAATAAAAATCAAAGAAACATAAAGCCACATGTTTTTTTGTTGTTGTTTTTTTTGTGTTTTATTTTTTATTTTTTTCCCAGTCATTGGCAACGGTGAACTTATCCATGATGTCCACACGGGCAATTAAAGCGAACCTTGTAGTCAAAGCAGGATCCATGTTTCTGGTCCTTATTGCGGCAAATGAAACCTCTTCTTATGTCGTAGCTGAAAGATAACAGTCAATAATAATTATTGTTTATAGATACCACAGTTTTCTTTAAAATGTCCACTTTAAAAAATGAACTGAATTAATTTTTGTTGAATTTCCTTAATTTGTGTTTATATTTTACACAATTACTTGGCCAACATTGCAGACAGAATATGCACATTTTAAAACTTTTTAAGTCTGCAATTCTGTGATCATTATGAAGTTGCTCTAAACAAAAATTTCATCTTAAAAATGTTTTCTAATGACTGTTAATGAAGAAGCTTAATGTACTAAAATGACTCAGAGTGAAAAATGGTAACCTTAGCATCTCCTTTTTATGAATAATTATATTTATGAACAACTTACGCATAGAATTTCTGATTTGTTTTTTCAGCTGGAATCTCTTTGTCAGTGGTCACAGCATGAATGACTTTAGGTTTCTCACAGATTTTTCCTGGGTAAGCTTCTCTCAGAGACTTCAAATCCTCATAGTCACCTGTTCCACTGGGACTGTCTCGATTGAACCAACTAGTCCAACACTGTCGACGAATACGACCTACTGTGATGCCAAAACACACAGTTTAACTTAGAGCTAAAAAAAAACAAACAACAACAAAAAAAAAAAACGGGAAAAGTGAAATACATTTTTAAATTACACTTTTATTTTTTTTTACAAGCTCTCATTTTTAAATTAAAGTATTGAATGATTTTCTTTACTATTAAGAGTGTTTAAATAATCTTAACAGTTAGAACTTTTTGACAAAAAAGGACTTAAAACACCAGGTGATGCTTTGTGAAAACTCTTACCTTGTAGACTTGGTTCCATGTAACCTGTAAAAAAAAAAAAAAAATCAGAATAATCTAAAAAAACATTATTCTGGTGCTCTGGACATTAAAAAAAAACCAAAAACAAAACAAAAATTGTTGAGCATGCATCAGAATCAGAATAATGCTGGCTAGTGGTCGTAGTTCATGTAAACATTATCAAAACTAAAATGTGTTACTGCTGTCACTGTGCTCAACATACCAAGCAGCACAACTGCAGCAAACACAAGACTCAACTGTAACAGAAAAAGTATAATAAGTTAATAAAGTGTATTTTCATTGAAGCTTATTTAGCTGTTTTCATTTATAACTTTAACAGCACAACTAAACTCCTACCTGCTGGACCATATTTGCAGAAACCAGATGTCAGTTCTAAACAGCTGTAAACAAGAAAACATTTATTTATTTTCTTAAGTAACAATATTTCGGTTTTGTCTTAATATGATTGTTTTTTTTCCCCACTTTTAAATATATATATATATATATATATATATTTTTACCCAGGAAGACCAGAGGAGATTCAGCAAGAGAACTTCTCAGTCCAGTAAGTTAGTTCTGTTTACATCTGTCTTTTTATAGCAGTAAGTCTCACCCTCTGGCAGAAACTCAACATTTTCAACACAAAAAGTTGACTCCTGCAGTCTTCTTTGGAAATGTTAAACTTGTTTTGTTGCATTTCCACAGATAAAATGCAAAAGGACCAGATACCCAACATAACAGTTCCAGTTTTGAACCTCAATTGTTTTGTCCACAAATTATGAAGTGGAGACTTTTCAAATTTTGTTTATCATCTAAAAACCAACAATGACAATGAAACATATTTATATCAGACTATATATTATATCACTGAATTGTGTGACTATCTGTCGTAAAGTGTTAATAACATCATATAATTTCATGTGTTAAGAGAAAGCAGATTTTTGTTTCTGGTTGCTTTTTCCAGTAGTAAGAATGTCTTAGTTACACGCCTGCATTTCTCCAACACCAATGCTAACATATAAACAGTGGTGCCTGGTCAATAAAGGGTGCTAGGGCACCGCCCAACCACACATACCACTCACCATATTACACTGAAGACAAAAAATAATAATAAAAATGAAATAATAAAATAAAAATATTTCAAAATATATATATATATATTTTTTTTTTCATTTAGCCTTTATTTATCCAGGTTAGTCTCATTGAGCCACGAGAACTCATTTTCAAGAGAGACCTGTTTAGGGAGCAGATGGGGGGTTAAGGGCCTTGCTCATGGGCCCAGAGTGGGGCGAATGAGGGTGGGG